GAAAGCAAAAGCTTTTACTTGAAAAATGGCAACGCAAACTAGCAATACTAATGAAATTGTCTTCATTTTAGTTTTAATATTATTTTTAGTTCTTGTTTTGCTGTAAAAACGTCTGAATGAACACTGAATAATTTTTAATTTTATGTCAACCTTTTATATTTTTAAAAATATTTATGCTTATGTGCTGTTGTTAATTCAATTGTTCTGCTTATATTTTTAATCTTAAGTGTTACTCAAAGTTATTTAAGTGTTTCATATTAATTCAATTTTTTTAAAAAATGGTAAATATTATTGAAAGTTCTATTAAATTTCTTAAAATGTCATTACTCATTATATATGAAACATTGTAATTAACAAAGTTTAAACAGACATACTTTAAAAAATTTAAGTTGGAAAAAAAGCCAGCTTCTTGAAATTGGCCCAAGACTCATTGGAAGGTTGGGTGAACCACTTATTTTTTTACTTTCTTTATCCACAAACTCTCATTTAAAAAAAATAAATACACTCATCCCTCGCTTAGCTGAAACTCGATATACGGAATTTCGGTTTTACCGAATTCAAAAATTAAACCAAAGTCTCTTTTTACGAAAAAAAATTCGATTTACGAAAAATTTTTAAAATGTTTTCTTCTTGTTACCTAATGTAGTATTAATAATAAAATCCTTTTATATTTTTTGCAAATTAACAAGAAATCTATGTTGCTATATAAGTTTAGGTAAAAGATTATGTGACTATAACGTAATTAGCGTAAATATAAATGGAAAGAACCACGTGCATATTGCAGAAAAGATTTGGCAGTTTGCAGAAATCTAATATACTGTACATCGATTTTAAACACAGGCATACATACACTTAATTAATATATTAAGACACAAAAAAAAAAACAAAAGTTTTTAACTAAATAAAACCAATCGGAAAGGATAGTATAAAATTTTGAATATCTGTAAAAATTCTGCATTAAAAAGAAATAATACGAATGTATACAAAAAAAAAGTTAATAACATGATGCTGTTTTACACTTACTGAAATCGATGACAATGTGACACATTTTTTGTTGAAATAATTAAGTTTTTTTTTACCGAAAAGTATGTATATCTGATTACTAAAGCCACTTTTTGATTGCATTAAAAAAATTTTCTGATATAAAATTAGCAGACAACCTTAATTTTTCGATTTGGATATGAAGACAAAAGTTAAAATAAAGTTTGCCTAACCTTAGGACAAATAAAACTTGGTTTATGTCTACAATAATCATTTAATGTTAATATAAAATGCAGGCAGACTGAGATAAATCGAACTATAAAAAATTGCATAGTTTGTTTTTTTAACGTTTTGTTTTAAGGATCGAAGTATATACTTTTTTTTAAGAAAAATTAGCAGAAATTAGGTTTTTTTAAGAAAATTAAAAAGTTATATTTTAATCAAAGTAAAATTAGGTTAAATATTGAGAAGTACATAAAATTTTTCTATGAAGGGGATAACATCAAATACAGATACTCACAAAATAAAATACTAATAATAGCACGCAATCGCAGGTACTATGTACATTTTCTTCGACTTTTTCTCAACAAAAGCAATAAAACTATAATCAATAGATAATTTTAACGAGAACGTAATTCATTTTTAATTAGGTACTCACTGATTACTGGAATCTCTAACAAAAACATAAGCAGAAATCAGTTATTTTAAAAAAACTGAGTAATTTTGCTTAATTATATAGAATTTTTAAAAATTAAGCTTTATCGACTTATGTTTGCTTCCATTTCCAAAAAATTTAACGACTGAATTGTGTTTGCAGACCTCTTCAATGTTTTTAAGAAGTGTACGTTATATATAAACCACTACTTGCATTTGAAACTCCATGTATCAATTTAATGTATCATAACTCCATGTATCAAGTAAAGGATTCAATTAAATTGAATCTAATTAAATCTTAATATTATGTGTAAATTAAGTTTATGTATTTAATTGTTCAGACACAAAATCGTTTTAAAAAAATTCGAAATTTTCTCTAAAAATACGAGTGGAATTTAAGTAGAATAAAGGTATATAACTGATAAGATTGTTTGGTTATTTTGTAATTCAGCCGGAAATGAAGTTATATTTAGCTTGTTTGACTTGAAAGGGATTTCCTATTAATTTAAAAATATGATATAGGTTTATCCATCCCTTATCGATAAGAATATTTGACAATAAATGAAAAGATTTTCGAAATTATTTTCCTTGTAATTCATCGATAATTCCTATATTATCAAAATTTAAAGAATTGAACTTTTCCGTTAATTTTAATATAAAAAGAAAAGAAACGTTTTATAAGGCATCAGTCAGTCATCACAAGGCACTTCTTAATTTAATAATATTGGTAGTATTTTATTATAATTTTTAATACAAATTCCTCAAGTGAATATAAATTTATGTCTTAATTTATATACTAGTGCAAAAAAGCGTGAAACACTTAATTTTTAATTTTAAATTTCAAAATGAAGTTTATTTTGTGTGTCTTAATACTCGCGGCTTTAACTTTAATGGTAAGATATTTTTTTGCAAAACTAAATTATAAATTTATTTAATTTGCCTACATTAATTTTTCTTGTGTATATGCAAACAGGTTCAAGGACAAATGCCTCTTTTGAATATGAAGGACCATCTTGAAAAAGCTTTAGATTCTGAAGAAATCATAAAATTAAATAAAACTGCTGTTAAAATATGTCACAAAAAATACATACCGGAATTGCGAAACCTGTTTGAAAATTTTGTAAAAGAAGCCAAAAATTGCAATAGAGCGGAAAATTTCGATGTTTGTTTACAGAAAAAATCAAAACAACTCAGACTTAAAGCTTATACCATTTTTAAAGATTTCCATTTATGCATGGGTATTTCCTTAAACACATTTAAATTGAATGATGTTCTCGAAAACATTGAAAAATTAGATGAATTTGAGTTATTTGATTTGACCGTCGTTTTAAACAACCAATTAATAACTAGCTTAGAATTTGAAACTGGAGAGGAACAAAAAAGAAATCGTACACAAAGACAAATATGTTGCAAAAACTATCGCTTAGATCTACGTCAAGCTTTCAGAAACTATAGGAAATCTAAAAAAGCTTGCCAAAATCAAAAAGACAAACCTCTCTGCAGAAAAAATGTTAGAGCTCAGCTTAAAAATGAAATTAAAGATGCAAGACAGAAGTTTCGGAAATGTTTAAAGGTCGCCAATTTAAATAATATAGACGATTTAGACTTTAACGAATCCGATATGTACGTTTTAACCTTTGACCGCGAAATTAATGAAATATTTGAAGAAGAAAGCTTTGATGTGCCTGGGAAAAATTGTACTACTAGAAGGTTATGTTGGCAAAAATATCGCTTGACCTTTTCCAAAATTTTTCGAAAATATAGAAAAGCCATTAAATCTTGTAATAAAATCGAGAATAAACTATTATGCAAGGAAAAAGTAAAACATCAGTTTAGAAATGAAACAATTAGCGCTGGAAAGCAATTTCGTAAATGTATTGCTGCTATTTGTAAAAAAGATTACCACCAAAATACTGAAAATTTTGAAAAATTTGAAAATGTGAACGAATTAAACGAATTAGAATTTTACATTTTTATTTCTGATACTGAAGATAATGAAATACTTGAAAAAGAAAACAACGATATTTTTCTTCAAAAAATTCTGAACGGTGATTTATTTAGAAAAAACTTTGGAAATTTCAATTCCTTAATCAAAGGCCTTGAAAGTACCAATTTGAATTCCAACAAAGCTTTGGAATGCAAAAAGAAGTATGAAGGAGAACTACAAAGCATACGTCAAAAATTATTCGAATCATTGAGAAATTGTCAAAATTCTGCAAATCGTTTAATGTGTATCCGCGATGCTGTTAAGGAATCGATTCGAGCAAGCTTGGATGTCGCCAGAAAAATTAGGGATTGTATTTTTAGTTAAATTTCAATCCATTTTTGATTATTATAAAGTTTAAAATTCAATTTCTTTCAATAATATAAATTTTTTATGTTTACCATTTAATTTTTTTTAGATAAAGTATTTTTATTTTTAATTTTTATATATTCTTATATTTTATGCAGAACTACTTATGAAAATAAATATTGTCCTTTCAATGCTAATTTTTCTTTTAAATTTAGAATGGTTAAAATTTTAAAGCACATTCACAAATAAAATTATAATAAAGTACATTAAAAATTAATAAGTCTCGGTTTCTTGGCAAAATTCTTAAAAGGCGAATAGTTACGTGGGATTAGAAAATTTGCTTTAAATAATTCAAGTTCAGAAATTGTATGTTTCACCAAAGTGTAACGGCAACCTCAATTACTCGTTTTATACATGCTTTTGAATTAAAAATAAATTTTTTTTTAATAAAAAAATTTTTATCGATATAAATTTATAATCTATTATCAAAGTTTTAGATAAATTCAAGTTGTCGTGTAGGAGAGTAATTGCTCCGAAAATTAGTGAAATGAAATCTTAAAAGAAACTTCCTAATAATTAAAGACAAACACATACTAGCAACATCTTTAACAATTAGAGACTTAAGCTAATTATTAGTGTTACATATTTTCCAAGTTACAAAATTATGTAAATTGCGAAATTAATACATTAAAATTTAAACGCCATTAAAAGTAGCACGTATTAAAATTAAAACATAGAATTTAGCGCATTACTGTTATAAATTAAGTTACTACTAAACTACCAAGTCCTCCGTATACTAACCCCGTAATATACATTGAACTTTCTTTCTTTCTTTACATTCATTGAAAAATTCGCGTTGTTATCATAACAAATTTTTTCGATAAAAGTCTTTTTATCATGGCATATGTATCTTTTTAAAACAGATTTTCACTCTCACTTGTATTTTAAAAAAGTCACTTAAAATTCTTATATATCGTTTGGTGAACAATATGAAACATAAAAACATATACTGATAAGATTTTGAAAAGAACTATAAATATCTGAAAGTTGTACTATTTACAATCAAATGTACTTGAAATCGTTACCATATCGCATATTAAATTTTATTTAATATGAAATTCACATTTTATTGCCTTTTAGGCTTATTCTTGATAACGGTAAGATCAACTTTAAATAAACTTACTCATCCTATTTTATTTCTCAAAAATTTTTATAAGCCTAAAAAATACCCAAAATAATTGCACAAAATACTAAACAAAACATATGCTATTATATTTAAAATGACTGACTCAAGCTAAATTTTTATATAAAATAATGTCAAAAAGTATTTCAGAATCAGACTGACGCAATACCATCATCACATCGTGGAATTGAGATAGTTCTCAACACTGTATTTGGACAAGTTTCTTCTTTATATAAACAAATTCAGCTGGTTATCTTACAACTATCAAATGTTGCTGAAGCTGGAATTCGACAAATAGAAGAAGATTTTATTAAAGCTGCTATTAATATTTCAGACTTAGTTAATGATTTTGGAGATTCTGCCAGACAATGTATTAAGAAGTACTGGAAATCTTTAGAAATCGCGAAAGCAGAATTAAAATCTAATATTTTAGAGTGCTCAAAATCAGTTAAAAAGCAAGGCACAAAAATAACGGATATTCTACAGAAACAACAAAGGGAAATCGAGGAAAGTTCAAAAGCATTTTATGAAACTATAAATGAATGCTTAGAATTTAAATCTGGCCAAATTGTAGAATGTATTTTTTATAAAATGGGTGAACTTAAGAATATTGCCAGCCGTGTTACTCTTTCTACAGAACAATCGTTAAAAAAATCAGTAGACGATACATCAAAAATTTCTAAAGAGGGAAATGAATGCATACGTGGTGCTTTAGACAAATTTGCACAAATTCAAAAAAATACTAGCTCTAAAATAAGAGACTGTGTTAAAGATTCTTGGACAGATTATTACTGAACATTGACAAAAAATAATTAAAATTAAAAATAAATTTTCGAACTGATTTTCAATTTTTTTCTTACTTTTTAACGATTTTTGAAGCTATTACTCACACAAAAAAACTCTTTTTTTGTGAGTAATGGTATTAGAGAAACAATCTGTTGCTTTTCTGAATACATAAACATAAATTGAAAGTTTTCTGATAAGTAACTGATTTCTGACATGATAACATAGCAATGATAAGGAATGAATTATAACCTGAAAATGTTTTCCAATTGTGCAGTTTTTATTTTGCGTTTTAAATTTATTTCCACTTTTCTATGGAATTAAATTTAAAATCGTATATATTAACAAAAACATCAAACAAAAATCGCATTGGCGGAATATTTATACATAGCGCACGATATATCAGTTTCTGTTTAGTCCAAAAAAGTTTTTTTAAAGACCTATATATTCGAAACTTTTTGTTGCTTATCTTTTTGAATGGGAACTTTATATTTTCATATAGTTGAAAATTTCATTTTTTTTCAGTAAGTGTTTTTTATTTTAATAAAACAATGAAAAGCTTTGCAAATAACGGATTCTAAAACAAGTTATATGCACGTTTCTATCTAAATTACGCAATATATTTAATTATATTATGTTGAATGTTTAATTTTTTCTAAGGTGTCATTTACTAAAATAGACCTGACCAAAGCACAGTCAGGTCACTATAAAAATTATATTTAACATTATATAGCTTTATCCACATTGCGTTAAACGTATTTTACATATTAACTTATTGCCATATTTTAATAATATCCAATATTAAAAAATACCAGCAAAATAAAAAGTAAAAATAAAGTTGGGTTAAACCAATGGTTTGTATTGTAGCACTTTTCCTTTCAACAATATTAGTGAAAATAATGCTTTTAAATACAGTTTATGTATATACCACACTATTAAACATATTTTTATTCATATACGAAACTTTTTCTAGGATTGCATATATTTAGGATGAAAGATTTATGCAGTCTTTTTGCTTTCATTTATGCAAGCAAAAATTAATTTAAAGATGGATGGCCCATAATGCTCGATTTTAAGGGTTAATTGCGTCAGTTAAGAAAAATAATTATTTTTTTTTAATGTTATGGAATTTACCGTTAGCTTTTTGCGTTTATAGAAATTTGAAAAAGCTTGCGTTTCGGAAATATAAAGCGTCAAAAATTCAAATTTTAATAATTTCAATGGGCGATAAGTTGAGAGGGGGTGGAGATGGAAAAAAATTTTTTATTAATCCCTAAAAGTTGCTAAAATTTCAGGCTCCAACAACCTGGGGTCTAGAAGAAAAACGACATCAAAAATTTGGAAAAAATGGATTTTAGATAACGGTAAATTTGAACGGCCATTTTTTTTAAAGTTTAACTTTAGTATGCCAAGATAGGAGAGGCAAGCCACTGCCTTTCTGCGTTTGCAAAATTTCAAAAATGCTTATGGTTTCATTGCAACAAATAATTTAAAAAGGCCATTTTTAAGGTTTTGGGGGGGGTATAACTTTTAGAGGGGGAGAGATAAGTAAAAATTTTGTTCCACGGAAATAAGTTTTTAGTAAAGATATATGTACATATTAAATTTCAGCTTTCTATCTTCAAGGGTGTATAAGTTTTGTAAACAAAAAAAGTGTCCACGGACGGACGGACGGATAGAGTGAAACTTATAAGCACTTTTTTTCAAAAATTTTTTGGAAAAGTGCTAAAAAGTAAAACTTCGGTAGGCTCGTCACCTGCATAGTATTACTAAATGACGCAAGAAACTGGTGTTCATGGTTATCTACAATATCGTGTACCAGCCCTATGCCCCTAATTTTAATATTACGAGTAGTTGAAATATATTTTAGAGGAGAAAACATTTCAATAAATTTGAATACGGGAATAGGCCCGATATGTTTTATTTTTTTCATTCTCAGAATCTTCAAACTTTGAACAAATACTTATGCATGTTTATATGTAAACTGAAATATACTGCATGTTCCTCACAAACCAAAATTTTTAAATAACTTGCAAAATAATTTTTTTTTTTAAACATTTTTTATTATTTCAAAAAAATCAAGGAAAAATATTTGCCTTTTCTTCCTAAAATCTAGATTAATAATTTATTAATTTTACTTTGGTTTTTAATTTTACATATTTTTAAATTATTGGAAAAATATCATTATTCGTAACTTAAATTTTTCAATACAATACACATAAATCGAATAGAATAAAAAAAAGCCATTATATGATCATAATAAAACACTTTTTAATCTACCAATTAAAAGGAGCTGTAGGAATAATAAATTTTAATAATTATTGACTTCGATAATTAATATTGGACTATAACAATATCTTCTTTATGATTAGATTATGAAAAGAATTTTTAGTGTATAATCGTATTATAAAACATATCGCCAATTGTTGAAATCGATTAGTTTTAAATTCAATTGTGAGTAACAAGATCATACTTAAGAGAAAATGAAATACAGTTTTGCTATTTTCATTGGAATTATTTCGGTTGCGACTGCGTCATCTGAAATATTTAAAGATGTTCAAAAAATTGATAAAGTTACTGTAAGGCAATTAAACTGAAAAACTATAGCCAACTTTTAAAAATTTCAAAATTTTAGTACACATTGATTCCTACTGATGGCTTATTAGATTCTAGTTTAGCTGACGAAGTTAATCGATTTGTTGTGGAAAAGGTTGCCGAGTTTAATGAGGAGCTCGAAAAATTCAATAATATTTCTGAAAACACACAAATTGAAATCGACGGAATATTAGAAGATGCTAAAACCAAAATTGAGGAATTTTTCAAGAAAATTATGGATAAAATTATGGAGTTAAAACGACGAGGTGGAATTTATAAGAAATGTGCGGAGCAATATGAAACTGAATTAAAAGAAGCTCGTCTAGCAGCTTTAAATGCATTTAAAGAATGTGCTTCAAGCATTTCCAAAGCTTTGAAAGACTTTGCAGTTGAAGTTGGAACTGAAGCTGCTCGCATTACCAAAAATGTTTTATATTTAGTTGAAATCGCAACAAATTGTTACAATCAAGACGGCACCATTAATCAAATCAAATGTGCATTCAAAGCTGTAAGAAAACCTTTAAATATTTTAACATAATTTTACATTTATATACATATATATATTATTTTACTCCTATAATAGCATTTAAAATTGCCGTATTAATTTGTTTTGAGCTCATGAAACAACCAATTTCAGCAGCTTTATTTTGCCAACTGTGAGTAAATTTTTCTCACACATCATAAAATTGCCAAATAAAATGCTAATTATTAAAGCATAATAATGCTAAATCATTATGGAAAAATTGTAGGCCGTTTCGCTTTTTTTTTTATTTTACCGCAACATTGATTACACAAAAATTTTAATTTACATTCAAATTTGTTTCTGAAATTACCAAGTTTAAAAAAAAACATTATTAATATCAACTGTGAGTAATACTCACAAACTTTTTAAAAGTCAAAAAGTAGTAGTACACATAGCCATAGTAATGTAAGTAAGAAATTATTTATATATTACAGAATGCACTTAAGAAGAGCCAACCAAATTAAATGCGACATATTAAAGATATTCGCTTTTATTGTTCGAAGTGAATAAATTTTAATCATGGTTGGTAATCTAGGGTTAAAATTAAATGTGACATATTAAAGATATTCACTTTTATAGTTCCAAGTTAGTAAATTTCACTCATGGTTGGCAATCTAGGGCTAAAAAAATTTAAATCCTCAAAATAATCATGAACGCTTATACGCAAGCTAATAAAGTTGCATTCCCTGTAAACATCTTTTAAAATTAATATCAATTCATAACACAACGTTGATTTTAAAAGTTCATTAAATTCAATATTTTAATTAAATATAATTTAAACTTTATTTCCTAAACCTTTCAAGATTTTAAAAACTTACAATTTTCTGATCACAAAACCTTACATAATTAAAAAAATAAATGAGATTTCTGGATTCATTAATACATGACCTGTTTGAAATTGTTCTTCAGATCAAGCAAGTTATGGACACAATTATCGATATAGTAAAAGCAATAAAGAATTTGGTAACTTCTATTATTGAAAATACGAAAGCGATTGTTGCAGCTGTCAAAAATTGTAACGATAATTATGTAAAAGTTGTTATAGCGAAATTTGAAGATTATGACAATAAAGTTGCTGCGTGCTACAAATTGGAAGCATTTTTCACGTAAAATTTGAATATGATTTTATTCATTAAATATTAAATTAACTTAAAATCATTAATTGTTTGTTTATTTCAGTTAGTAATTAATCTAATAAACAAAAATTAATCCATTTTTTAGTTAATTAAACTAAAAAACAGTAATTAATTAGTTTGTTTTCCTTTCTATAGAAATAATTTTACAGCTTACTAATGATGAAAATTAGCCCAACAATCTATAAAGATAAACCCAAAATTCCCAACCACAATGTTATCATAAATTTCCAACCACAATTTTGCAATGTGAATACTGATTTTTAATATTTGATCTTAAGAATTTGAATATCTTTGATAGCATCCTAATACATAATAATATTGTACTTGTATCTATAATAGAAAAAAAAACAACAACAATAAGCAATCTTGGCAGATGCAAATTTACAAAAAAAAAACTTATCTGAATGCATGCCCATCCAAGTGATTTTTCTTTTGCACCCTTTGAAAATGATTTTTTTTATGTATACGGGATAACATTAACGTATGTAGGAATTCACGTATTAATTTAAAATTAAAGAAGACTTTTTTACCCTCATATTTTTTATTTTCCAACTAATTTGACACTTGTATTTTCTTTTTTTTATACATATTATTTTTTCGAACTTTCTGAATAACGACATAGATAATGTATGTGTGTATAATATTATTCATAAATAATTACTCAAAAAATAAAAAAATTTATAAAATTTTGTAAAATTTTTCATTCCCGTAATTTTGAACTCCCGGTCGCACGCGGTTTTAAAAAGAAGTATTTTTTTAATTCACCTCAAAATTTTGTAATTTTGAAAAAAAAAATTTAAATGGGAATGGTGAAAAAAAAATTTTTTCGCCATTATGGTTCATTAACATTCACCACAGTATGTGAAAAATTTGCCACACACACCCACACTCAAACACTAATAAACTCTTGCGGTCAAATTTAAAACCTGCAGAAAATATAATCACTGTTTCGTAATTCCTCCGATAGGTGGATTTTTTAGGGTGAACTTTTTGATGAGAAAGTTGAAATTATTTTTTTTTACCACACCGACCGTTAAAAAAAATTTTTTAATAAATCCAAAAAAATTTTAAAACACGAATCCATCGCAAGCGATCGATACCTTTTAAGGCTAACCAACTAGGCTTGCTTACGCAGTACCAAATTTTCCTTTATATTAAATTTTATAATTTAAAGGAAAATTATATAAATTATATAATTTTATTTTATTCATATTTCGTCTATGTTTGTAGGATAAATTCATTTCTTCAAATAATATTTATTAATTTGTAGAAAATATTTCTTCATAATCAGTATACATTTGTTATGAGAATTCTGGAACACATGATTCAACGTACTAAAAAAGTGCATTATGAAAATTTTAGAATTATTACAAATTAAAGTGTTTTTCATAGAAAATGTACTCAAAAAACGTCAAAAAATACCAAAGAAACGCAAGATCTAGATAAAAAAAATACTTTTGTATTTTGAAAATAACTTAAAAAACTTATTGTTTATAACTAGTTATACTTATTTTATAAAACTTCATTCCCCAATTAATGATAGAGAATAGGTCTGATTTAAAAAAAAAAAATTGATCAAACGGAAAACTTGAAAAAAACTTTTAAAAACTATATGACGCATGTTGTGATAAACGTCAAATTTCAAAGTATTTATCAAACAAATATTTTTTGATTATACCAAAAACCGAAAATTTTGATTTTCGGTTATAAAAATGTGAAACTTAGAAAAAACTATGCAGGCCCATTTTGGTTAATTTGTTTTATTTTTAATTGAAATGTTTTGAAAAAAAAAGTAATTGTTAATGAAATTCTTTTTTCAAAAATAAAACCTTCTGACATTACCAGAAAAACATATGTTTCGACAGCTGTAAGGTTTTAAAAGTTTTTTAGACACCAAATTTTACTTTACAAAACTTGAAAAATGATGAGAACTTCATCATTTTTGTTCCAAAAGTATCATCCCTAACGAATTATAAAACTAAAGGAAAGAGCAGCTTCAAAAAACAATGAACCATTTTTTTTAGTTGCCCCTTTCTTTGCTCCGAGCATTGTTAAACTCGTAACAGGAGTGTATTTATTTCATTTTCTTGTCAAGCTAGTAAAATATGTGTAATTTATAAGAAGGATATGTTTTTTTTTAAAGTAAAAACTAAAAAATATTTGAAAATATTTTTTCATTTTAGATATCTGTGAAAAAAAATTTAAACAAAACTCATTATTTTTTTCTCTTTATCATTATAAATTTTGGAAAAAAATTTGAAATGCAAGCTTTTTTATTAATAATTCCAATCAACTTTCTTTTCACTTCATACTTCTAAGAAAACTGTAATTATATAGAAAAAGACCACATTAAAATATTGTATTCGAATATATGCCATATTTTGCAAACACAAATTAATTTGCTCAGAAAAAAAAATCCTGTCCTGGTAAAATTATGTCATCCGAGGTAATTTTAATTTAAAACAAAACAAAAACAAATGTTTGCTTTGAAAAATTAAAAACTTAATAAAATTACAAATTATGAATTAATCAAAGCACTATTGAATAAATACTTCTTGTAATTATTGAAATGAACAATATTCGCATGTGAAGGTTGTAATAAAACTATTTGTTTTTACAAATGAGAATAGCAATTTAGAACTATGGACCTTTTTCTTTTTCAGCAGATTTTTTTCTTTTTTGCACTTGTTATAATTTAGTTATAAGTTTTCATAAAATAATATTCTCTTTTTATACTAATTATTAAATATTTTATGATTTTTTATTTACAAACTGCATTAATTTTATAAATAAAATAACAAAATTTTCTACGTTTAATTTTTATAAAGTGGCGCGTCATTTTCTAAGAAAAAAAAAACATTTGGCATTTAATGTTAATTTCAGTTTGACAAAGAAAGAAATTTAGCTGAAGTAAAAGGCTTCACTATGTTTTTTTTCAAGATGCGATTTTTTAGGGAGTGTAAGCGAGGTAGACACAAAAAGGCTCCTTTCTTTATATAAAGGTTCTAATTCGTTGATTATCCCAGACGCTTTGCATGCAAAAACTTTATAAAGTTTTTAAAAACTTATACCAGACTTTTTTCTGCTTCGCCTAATCGAATTTCATTTCTCCAGTTTGTTGATCATTGGCAAAAATAACAAAAGGCTAAAAATATTTACGTCGATCACACGATTAATTTTAATTGAATTTCTATTAAATTTAAATCAATTTCAAAAATTTGGTGGATTATTAAAACAAGCGATCAATCATCTAAAACTAAAAATACAAAAAAAAAGTATCTTATCTATTTCCAATAAAATTAAATTGATAAGAAAGTTTACTATAAAAATCTATTTATTTACCAAGCAATTCCCACTTCTAGTTAAGCTTCAACTGTTCATAATTTTCACTGAATTCCTTGAAATCATGAAATTTATTTGTCTTTTCTTTATAGGCTTTTTCGCAGCAACATCAGCTACAACTGAGCTAGATCTGTTTGAAGGGATTCCACAAGTTAATTTAATTGAAGTAATAAAGAGTTTTTGTAGTTTATTATTAAAACTTAAATTTTTTCTATAATAAATAGTTTACAGATTTCGCTCCACAAGGTTTTTACTTTCCTGAAAAAGTTAAGGAAGCTATAGAGAAAGCTCTGGATGAATTTAATATCTTAATCCAAAAATTTAAAACGAAATCAGTCGCAGATCGTGAAAAGTTGAACCAGTTTGTTAGAGGAATAAAAGCTCGTGCTGAAGTTAAAATACAGGAAGCGAGTGAAAATATTAAGGAGTTAGTTAAAAAAGGTGGACGTGTTAGTAAATGTGCAATCAAATATGATGAAGAGCTAATAAATATAAGTAACGGAATTATCGACGGCCTTAAAGAATGTTCAGAAGATATTGTTTTAGCTTTAAAAGAACTGACCGCTACAATCCTAGGTTATTCGGATGAATTTATAAAAAGTGTAAACAATTTGAGAGCATTATCAATGAAATGTTATAATGAAGAATCAAAAATAGCCGTCGCAAAGTGTATTGCTACAAACGTAAGTTTTAATTATGCAAATTTTGACCAACAAGTGCTTTTATTGACATTTAAAATATGATCTGTAGATTTCTGAATTTACAAAATTATTTGGAGAAATTTTGGACAATGCTAAAGCTACTATCAATGGGATTTATCAAAAAAGTAAAGCCTTGGTGGAAGCTGCAACATTGTGTAATAACAATCATATTGAAACCACATTTAGTAAAGTGAAAGCTGTTAAAGCCAAAATTGACGAATGCGTTAAATTAGAATAAATTTTCAAAAATGACAAATTGTGTAATCATAAAAATAGAAAAATAAAAAATTAATCTATTTTGTTGAAAATATATGAACATATGTATAATATCCTTTTAAGATTTTGGCAATACACTTTTAAGTGTAATATCAGTTATTTATTACTTTGTAAAAAAATTGCGAAAGGAAATTTTTAAGTACTATTATTTTTACCGACCACAGAAACAAACTTCTCCCTATTAGATAAATGCAACGAACTATTTTCCTATCTTTGTCCTATCTTTATATAATACTAGGAGCCTATTTGTAGATAAGGGGAATTTATTCTTGAATGAAATTCTAAGTTTAAGACTTGTTTTTTCAATCAAATGAATCTGGTTTTGAAAAATCCAGTTGGACAATTTTGCGTTTCAAGAAATACATACTTTCACTTCACTAATTACTGACTTCAAAGACATCTTATTCTTTGTGAAGTAAAATTTCGTTCGTAGCAAGCTCCCTTGGAATCTTGAATTTCAACAAAAAATGTTAAACTAAACAAAAAGTCTTAACTAATATCTTACACTGTTTTACTTAAACTTAGCTTAATTTTCAGGTTTTTTCAGGTTTTTCGCATAATTTTTTTACGCAAGCGATTCCTTAATTGAATCTTTTATTAACAACTTTTCTTATAGATTTTTTTACAAACTATACAAAGAAAATACAGAACGAATTCTCAAATAGCAATGGCATGTATGGTCATAGCAATGGCATGTATGGTAATTGTAGCATTTACATATATGCAGGTACGAGTGTTGATTTTTCAGTGAGAACGCACTTCTTTATGGTAGGGAAGTGCAAATAAACTATTTTTAACAACCTGCGGGTCTGTCGGTCTGTATGTGCACACGTGTATCTCAAGTTCGTCTGAAATGTAAATGTCTGAAATGTTCGTCTGATTTTGATGAAATTTTATATGTAAGTTTATTTCGACTACATCACGGATTGATCAACTTTTGGGATATATCAGGCCTTACTAACTGGACCTTGTATCTGACCTGTTTTACATTCTTGATCATTTCTAATAAAATATTTACAATATTTACTTGAAATTTCATATATAAGGTTTAGTCGACCGTACGTGAAATCTCCTGAATTTTAGACGGAATTAGGTGTCAGTAAATGGACGTTTACTATGGGCCAAATGTACATTTTTGCGTATATAAACAGAAATAATGAACCAATTTAATTTAAATTTAATATTTGAATTTGAGACGTTAAAACGATGAATCTATAAATTTTTTGGAAAGACCAGGGCTCCCAAACTGATTCGGGGTCGATTTTACATTTATTACCATATATACAGAACGGATTGAAGGAATTTCTTAAAATTTAATATTTGAGTTCTGGTTATTACCAGAAATTACTGACGAGCTTTTCGTATAATTCGAACTGCATAAAATGAAGAGCCAAATTCACATCATTCTTCTAGGTATGTAAACTTATTAGTGTCCTTAAAATTGTAAAGAAGTGTTTAAAACGCTTATAATCTTCTAGAATATTTTTCCTTATGTGCTGCCAACAACAATTTTTTTGTATTTTCTGTGTTTTATTTTATTGCAAATTTTGAGTTATCTTCTTAAAAATAAAAATTAAGTTAACTGCACTATCAATAAAATAGAAATAAAATTTTTAATCCCTAATCTTTTTAATAAGTATTAAAAAGATTATCATATAAGAACAGAGAATCAAAAATATTCACTTAACAAAAGTTCGTTATCACAAGTTTAAATTAAAACTCTTATCTTTTTTCTAAACAGTTGTCTGAAATAATCGATAATATGTTTATATAATGAAACTATAAAAGCAAATAATATATCTGCTGTTGTTCAGTTTGCTAAATATAATATTATATTGTTATAAATATGAAAATTTCAATTGCTGCTCTTTTAGGACTGTTTTTCTTTTCAACAGTCGCGGCAAGTGATTTGAATTTTTTCGAAGATATACCTGAAGTAAAACTTATTCAAGTAAGCAATATTCAAAACAATAACTTTAGCATATAATTACAATCATTTAAAGCTACGAGTATAAATAATTTTTTCATTTTCAATTTCAAAGTATGACCCATTACCGCAAGGAATATCTTTACCAACTTATGTGCATGATTATTTTCAAAACATAGTTAATCAAATGAACGTCGTGCTCTTAGCTTTCAGAAATTTAGTTCAAAATGACAAACAAGAAGTTGAAGTAGTTGCCCGAGCCGTTCAAATGGATGCTATGTCAAAAATTGATGAAATTCTACGAAAAGTTCAAGAAATAGTGGCTAATGGCGGAAAAATTAGTGAATGTGCCGCTGGTGAAGAAAAAGCTATTAAAGAAATTACTGAATTGGTTGCAGATGGAATTAAATTTTGTGCGCAGGATATGATTATTGCGTTAAAGGATTTAACTGGCGGTATAATGAAAGAATCGAATGAATTAATTGCTACAATTAACGAATTAAAAGAAGTTGTAAAATATTGCATGAGCAAAGGCAAACTTGGCCAAGCCTTCTGTATTACTGGAAACGTAAGACATTGTTTGATAAATTTTTTCATGTTTTTAAATTTTTTTTTGTATTTTAAGCTTACAAAAGGGCTACGATTAGTTAAAAAGATAATTTCTGATGCGCAAACCATTTTTGGAATTTTACAAGAACGATCAGGAAAATTAGTTGCTGCTGCAAAAGATTGTAACAATAATCATATTCAAGTAATATACGGCAAACTAAAAATAATAAAAAATAATGTTGAACAATGTGTGAAAAATAATTGATCATTGCTATACATTATATGAATTTCGAGCCAAATGAATAAAATTAGTTTGAAAAGCAGATTATATGTATAAGTATTTAATTTTTTTAATGAAACCCAATTATATTCTCCAGGGTACACGCATTAATAAGTAAAATCAAATATAACACATAGTTCCCAAAATATTAAGTTAAATGGTATACAACTTGCTTAATCTTCGGCAATTTTTAGCCACCATTAATTTAATGTTTCGCAGTTTAAGGTAATAACTCTTTATTAACGTGATGTGACAGAGCTTAAAAAAGGTTTATAGTTTTAGTTTATCCGCAAAGATGCCCCTCTTCGCTTTTTCCCTCGAAATGATTTGCAATCCTATGTGATTTACCCTGTATCTACGAGTACTAAATGCAAATATTATCCCTTAATAGCTAATGGTCAAATCAAAAAGTTTTCTGATTCATTCTTAACCCTAACCAACAATGTCAAAAAGTAGAACGATAGTAAATCATTCATTTTTATTTTGAGCACAATCAAAAATATATGTAAAGGCCTAAAACGATCCTCTTCCTCTACCGTTTTTTTCAATAACAGAACTCGAAATATGAAATTTCAAGAAAACTTCATTATAATTTTACAATAGATTCTGGGGAGTGTGCTGCCGTTCACAGGAGGCTTTGCTCTCACGGTGATGGAGTTGCGGTTTTCCGGGCCTCACAGGATACTCGAGCTCATCAAGAGTGTGGGTCTGGAACAAGTGTTGTAGGGTGCGCTCTGCATTCAGGGAAATATTGGGTATTTTAAGAATCAGTATAATCTGCAAAAATAGGATGTTTGATAAACAGTGTACGTTCGAAAATCGTACATGCCTAAAGCTCGAAAGCATTGTTAAAATGTTGGTCATATGCTACAAAACTATTTCAAGTTAGAGAAAAATAATAGCATAAAAATAATAACTTGCTGTTAGTTATATTTTATGTATGTATACATAATATGTAACCAATATAATTTAAACACTAAATTTGCAAAAGGGAAATTTTTATCTATTGAAGATCTATATAATTATGAAAAAAACTATTTTTAAGATTTCAGTTATAAGAACCTACAAAAGGAGCAATTAAATGTCTTTAATTGGTCATTTCTCTTCATAACGAAACAAAAAGACCTTACTTCTTCAATAGTTTTTTTAAAACTAAAAAATAATTTAGTTGGAAAATAAATTGAGGAAAAACATAAGAACTATATCCAAGGCTGCCCGATTGAAGCAGTTCGGCAAAAATTTTTAATGCGGTGGTTTTATGCCAGGGATGGAAAATGTGATACTATTGTACCAAATGTGATATTTTCATAAGCACATTTATACGTTGGTACGCCCAACTGGTATGTGATACTTTCTGCTAATGTATATTCATTATATAAAAATATTTTTTTATAAGGAATAAAATCCAAAATTCTTCTTGAGTTATATTGAATGCAAACAATTATTTTGTTTATCAACTTTGCTACTATTATTTATTGCACATGTAAGTAAGTCTTTTGTTATAAATATGTCGTGTATGATTTGCCAAAAAATTTGCTGAAGGGGTGTGTGTGTAGATATTTGAATTTTGAAAACATCTTTTTTTTTTAAATTGGTAGGATTACAAGAAATGTACCGGAAACTTCATCTTAAAGTGGGATATTTTAAGTTATTAAAAATTGCCATCACTGCTATTGCCATAATGTTAATATAAACCATTATAATGATTTGGTCTTCAAATATTTTAAACAATGTGATAAGTTATTTTTGGAAATAAAATATATATGTATATACATTCGCAAAATTGTTACGATTAACTGAAGTATTTTTTTTTGTTAAAATAACTCAAGTTCAACGCTTTACTACCACTCTACAATAATCAATTGATTAAAATTTCTTGTGGATTAAAAGTACTTGATTATATTACATTAAAATCAAAGATTTAAAGTGTTTTAAAATCATAATCGGTTTATTCCAGTTGTTATCGTATGATAAATTTAAATACATATAGGAACCTTGTTTCGTTTATCTAGTCGCATTTATTGTCCTATTAAACTTCATTTTTATTAAGCAAAACTCGTGTTTTACTAAAATTAACTTTCCTTTCACGGAAACCAGGACTTATAGTGAATACTAAATTAAAAATTTAACATCAACTTGACTTTCTTGAAGTTTGGCACAATAAATTTATTGTTTTTCTTTTATTTAATACTATTAGACATAATGGTAAAGTTATCTGCTTTTTGCTTACTAAATTGTATAACAAAAATAGATTCTGACTTTATAGCAAATAATTTTGTTTAACAAAGTGCTTGCGAAAAAGTAAAAAACAAACGCCAAAATGCTAGCAATTTTGTAGACACCCTTACATTAGAATCTACCATGATAATATATCTACGTAATGATATGTAAACCAAATATGTAAAAATGCATATGTGCATGTAGACATCAAAAACTACGAAATAAATACATTGCATACGATTAGTTGTGTTAGTATTTTTACGATTATGTTAAATAACAAAACACAAGTAGCAAAAAGGTTCTACTTATTTTTAAGTTACTAAGTTTTTATGAGCACTTTAAACATTAGTAAACAAAAAATGAAAATTGCAATGTAATTAAGAATATAATGAACATCAAAAACATATGAACAGAAATGAACAAATATTAACAGAATACAGAGTAAAATAGCGTAACATGAAAAAATTAAAATTTTAGAAATGCAGGTTTGGATATAAAACATAATATATCTGATAATATACATACATCATTTGCAAATTCTATTAAATCTTTTTAATATTTTAATTTATATTCTATCTAAATTATTTACCTTATAATTTTTGCAAAAAGGAAAAGAAACTGCAAATCACTGTGCGCAATGGATCGAAACGAACCAGTTATAAAATTATTTTCATTAATCTATTTTTTTATCATGTTATCAAGTAGTAATGCAATTCAAAATGTCAAAATATTTGAAAATGTTTCTCATCAATTTAAGAAGATAAGGTGAGAAAATCATAAGTACTTAATTGAAATTTTAGTATAAATACTTCTCCTTTTTTAAAAAAAAGTACAATAATAATAACCGTGCTCTAATTATTTTTTAAATAAAAAAAAAATTTATTAAAATGAAGTTCCAATTATTGATTGTTTTTGCTTTTTGCGCAGTCTTTACATCAGGAAAGACAATAGAAACATGCAACGTAAAATTGGAAAACGAATTGGATGTCATTCCAATGGGGATGTGGGAAAATATTCAGGCTTGTGCTAAGGGTGTCGTTAATGCCCTTTTAGATTTAGGATCCGATTTAACTGAATCAACGAATGAAGCTGTGAAGAATGTATTGAAATTTAAAGATTTAGTTATGAAATGTTACAATGAACCATCAAAAACTGCAAAACTGAAATGTGTTGTTAGTAACGTAAGTCACACACACACGTCTAAAATATTTGTACAAATTAAAAATAACTTAATGTTTCATTACACAGGTTAGAGATTTTAAAGATTGTATTTCTCAAATTTTGAACGATGCCACAGAACTTGTTTCTATACTTAAGGAAAAGGGTGAAGCTCTTATAGATGCTATTAAATCCTGCCATTTGAAAGATGAAGTTAATGCATTCTACGAAATTGTCGCCAAAGCAGAAAAATGTTATTGAAAGATTGATTCAAAATAAATGGAAATTTTGCTTATTTTTTGCAAAAAAATAATATATAGTTTTGTTATGTATACTTTTCGCCCCGGAATAGAGTGTCGTACAATCTTAAACCAAAAAAAAATTAAGTTTGAATGTAGACTTACTTGTGTTTTTATGCTTTTAGAATGATATTACCTCTTAATTTTGAATAATGAGGAAATTTGGGCTGTATATTAATAAAAATTTTTAACATATGTATGGACATACATATTTTTATTAAAAAATAGAAATTTATACCATATGTAGTTCGGCTTTAAATACAGTATGTAAAAACTTTTCGACAAATTATTGTACAATAAACAACTTTAAACATTTATATATTCGAAATTTATAAATTTTAACTCGATTCAGTCGTGTACCGTTGCATTCGGATTACAGGAGCTTCAAATTTTACAAAGTAAAGCAATCAAATTTATAAATAATTTACCCAAAATGTGCACTCCTTCAAATCAACCTTTCTCAAAACTTATTTCTGTAAGCTAAAAAATTTATCTGAAATGTGTGTCTTGTATTATAAGTTAATCCATATGGAAATAACACATAACCACTTTCGAATAGCATGATATTATGCTGAGACCATAAAATTTGAAAACTAATTCTTTTGAAGAATTCAAATCTAGGAAAAATAAAGAAAATGAAACTTCAAGGTAAAATGACAGCAATATATCGGATAAAAAAAATATCACTAAACAAACATGATTGATATGTTATAATTACAGAAAATATTAACATAAAGCTAGTCAATGTAGAAAGAAAAAAAATTAAAAAGGTGAATTAATTTCTCACCAGTAGGTTTTTGTTGGAATGAAGTAATTTCTAGATTGTAGATTGTAGATTCTAAGGGAACCGAGTGGGACAGGAGTAACCCCCCAAGCCACCGCAGCCATTTTTGACTTATTGTAGCCACCCCACTCTCCCGTCTATAATATCCCCGTCCCAATCACAAAGCCAGAGATATCCCTAAGGGAGTTGGACAACAGTTCCCGAACACTTAGGGACCCATGTCCAAGACAATTGCGGCGCCGAACAGCCAGTGCCGGACAGTCGCAGAGAATGTGCACGGCGGTCTCATCGCCACCCCCACAAAATCTACACAGAGGGGAGCCCGACTTCCCCAGCCTATGCAGGTGGTACTTCACTGGGCAGTGCCCCGTGAAGAAATTCGCAATAGTGCGAACCCGGCTCCTGCTCATCCTCAGCAACTCCGCGGCGAATCCGCCGGAGCACGCCGAAAGAAACACTTTCGCATGACGGCACCCTTTTGTGTCCCGCCAGTGACGGCCGCATTGCGCCGCGAGCAGCCTGGCCCCCACGGCGGAAGAAGGCAGACCGCAGAAAGGC